GATCCGCCCCGAGCCGCCGAAATGGGTCAACGGCGACCACGAGATGGTTCCGCCGTGTTTAGAGATGAAGGCAAACCGCGTGGACCTGCCGCTGTCGCTGAGGATTATAAAGCGGAAGAAGAAGAGGTGGGAGGAAGGAGTCAGAGAGGCCGGAGAATCGGCTTGCTGCTCCATCAAGAAGGCCTTCTCCTCGATGGTGTTTATAGTCCGAGAGCTGCACAGCTACACCCTCCAAATGAGGGAGGCCCTGTTCTATGAGAACTTGGAGGGGATCTTGGCGAGGGTGCAAGGGGAGATGAACGCCTCTTTCGTGTGGCTCTTCCAGCAGATTTTCTCTTGCACTCCTACCTTCATGGTTTATGTCATGCTGCTTCTTGCAAACTTCACCGTCTACTCCATTGGCCACAACTCGGCCTTCGCTGCGGTTTCCCCCTGTTCGCCCACGGCGGTTGAGCACGAGCACCAGCAGACGGAGAATCAGAATTCTAGATTTGACGCACCATCGATCAAGTCATTTAACGTTGTCGGAAGGACCGCCTCCGTTGGCGGCGGCGGCAGCGGCGGCGGAAAGGTTAAACCGGTCGCAGGAGCCACTGACGGCGATGGTTCTCACTCTTCTTACGTCCATAGAATAATTCCCGCCGATGGGATCTCCGCCAGTACGGGAGTCGAAGAGTCAGGATCGGTGATGGAGGAAGAGGAGATGGACGCATGGAGGAGGATTGTTGAGGAGGCGACGAAAATGCAGGCGAGTTCGAGAGACGAGACTCTGATGGATTCTGGTACGTTGCAGCAGTTGGTTTCTCCAGTGACGGTGGGGTTAGAGCCGGAGGATCATGCAGATTACTCAGAGACGGAGCTCATGTACCGTAGGGCACTGTCTCAAGATCCCGATAACGTCTTGCTCCTCTCCAATTTCGCTCAGTTCCTCTTCCTCGTCCTTCATGACCACGACAGGTAAATGATCTAATCAACCTATTAGGCTCGATCTCTTCCTAGTGTTCCTCTTCAAGTCAGGTCGGACTAATTAATATGTTACTGATGGATACGATGCAGAGCTGAGTATTTTTTCAAGCGGGCATCGGAGAAGAAGCCGGGGGACGCAGAGGCATTGTGTCGGTATGCGATGTTCCTTTGGCAGGCGAGGGAAGATTTGGAAGCAGCGGAGGAAGCATACTTGGAGGCCATTGCTGCTGATCCCAGCAACAGTCATTACGCGGCCAACTACGCGCATTTCCTGTGGAATACTGGGGGCGAGGATACATGCTACCCGCTCGATGGCAGCGATGCTTGTTAATTTGTTACCTAACAAACCCAGATTATCTATTATATCTATCTATCTCTAATAATAATAATAAGGTGCATGTACACAGAGAACGGACGCCCAATAGAAAAGAGTCCTTTTTTTGGAGAGCGTGAATTTATTATTGTTATGGTGTTGATGCGTTTCAGTTGGTGCAAAGCGATCTTATAATTGATCTCATCAAACTGAGGGGTTCAGATCTGCGCAGTTGTGTTTGTTGTGCTTCTCTCTGTCAATTGGCCTATAGCGTGGGTTCTAGCGCGAAATGTGCAGCGGGATTAGCATTTGCTTTGGGAATAGAAGTGGGGGCCCGGGTTGATACTCCAAAGCTTTTCAAGCCAGCTGTGATTTGCAAAAATCTTTTTTTATAGGGGGGAGAGAGAGAGAGATCTTTTTGGGGGTTTCACTGCAGCATTTGTGATGATTTCCCCATTTTTTCTTGGATCTGGTTACCAGAGCCCAATGCTGCAGTTAAGTGGATGGTCGTGAACGCTGGAGTAGCTAGCTAGCTGGCCGGCCGGCCTTAATTTGCGAACACCGACTTGAAACTGTAAATTCACCCGCACTTGGAAATTATAAATAAGTATGGGTTAGGAATTGTTTATCATATCGACTTTTGTTCTAGCTCGTTTAACCGTGTGGCTATGCTACACTAGCAACTCCAGTGATTAAGCAATAAGTAAGGAGACTAGTACAGTCAAGGGTGCTGCATTAATGATGCACGAAGAGGGTATTAATCTTTGGATCATGGGACTTCGAGATTCGATAGTTAGTCGAATATGCATTAAGTGCATCATATTAATGATGCGCGAAGTGGGTATTAATCTTTTGATCATGGGACTTCGAGGTTCCATAGTTAGTCGAATATGCATTAAGTGCATCGTAAACGGGCCGGACCTGATGTTTGGATTGCCCTAGCCCAATCCAATTTTGGTTGCCCATTATATTAAAAATTTGGTACGAACAATAACTATAAAAATGAATACATATAATACCATTTAGCGTTCTATATTAGGCTCAAACCGATAATTTATATAACCCTGCATTATAAAAAATTTGGTTGCCCTACATGTTAAAGCTTGGGATTTTATGTTTATAAATTATAACCCTACATTATATATAAAAAAATTGGTTGCCTCCCGGCACTGGGTTGCCCCAGCCCCAGGGCTTGGTGCGCTTACCCCAGGGCCGAGCCCGGTCGTAAACGGATACTAGATACCTTGACCTTCCCCCATCGGACAAACGTAAATGAATGCGAGACAGAAAAAGATTCTTGGTGTTAAATTTAGATAGAATCGCGTAAATGAATGCGAGCCGGAAAAAAATATGGTTGGTATTAAATTTGGATGGAACCACAAACATGTACTTATGGCTGAAGAAGAAGAAGAAGATTGAGTCTTTTAATTAGTAGTGTTTTTGCAACGTGAAACTCGTCAGGGTGAGTGTGATATGGCGTTATTAATGGAATCGCGATCATGTAATTAAGGCTGAAGAAGGAGGAGGAGGAGGAGGAAGAGCTAGTCTTTTGATCAGTAGAGTTTTTGCAACGTGAAACTCGTCGGGTGAGTGTGATATGGGCCACCAGAAATCTGAGAGGAGAATCTGGTGATGTTGGCCCATTTGTCCCTTCATTACCATCTGTTGGGTCCTCCCACCACCACGCGTAAAGCAGGTGACATGCTCATCCACATGTTAAGACTAATTAACTACTATTGTGTGTTGGGCTCCTGTGGGAATTCCTTATGTATCAAACAATAAAGCGAACGTCCTTTTTTTTAAAAAAAAAAAATTTAGTTTTAATAAAAGCGGAGCGCATGGGCACAACTTGTTATGCGTAACAGCCCGGTGTCCGTATTGAGACTCAGATACGGACGACACGGAAAACGCCATCTTAAGCATGTACAGGAGTTGTAAAGCAAAGAGGATTAACGAAGATGGGGCCTCTTTCTCTTCTCTCTTGGTTACGTCAGGCTATTTCTGATTTGATAACTAGTACAGTATAACTCAATTAGGCTTCAGGGGCCCTTAGATTCTAGCATACAGAATGTTCTTGTTGTCTATTTCTGCAGGCTGCATTAATGGACCATGCGTATGTTTAGTTTGCAGGTCTGCGGCCCACTAGTTGCACACTTCTGATCAGTGACGAGTATCCATATAGCCTATAAATCCCTGATGCACCTTCACTCTGTTCGTTTGATCAAATAACTTACCAGAATACCATAATCTCCTTTATCATGTTATATATTACCTATGAGCTGATTAAATCATAAGAAAGAAATATGATTGTCAATACTAATTATAATCGACGCAATCGACTAGGCGTGGTTGGTCGGGTCGACCAACCAAACCCAGTGGTGTGAAGAGCACCTTTAATATGTTATTTTTAACCGGTTTAGGTTAGAAAATTATATTTTTTAGATTAAAGACTTTGTGATACAGCGCGGAAGTAGTAAAAAAAAAACCTCGAAATCCACCAATGGTTGTTCTCTAAATCCACAAAGAACGTTATTGAATCCACGAAGAGCTTCGAATCCACGAAGAAACTATTAAAGAGGAATTTTATTGATAAAAAGATTATTATCCTTTGGGGTTATATGACTCTTCTTAAATAGAAAAACAAACAAGACTCTTAGTAAGATTAGAATTACAAAGAAATAGAAAATATCAAATTCTATCATTAAAAAGACTATTTATAATAGAGGAAACAAATCATTAACTAAAATTGAATTTGTTTCCTAATCTAATATGACTCAAAATGAGTGTTACTGATAGGATTGTGGGATTCTGCCAAACTGATTGACTTTGTCTCATCGAGATAGACGATTTTATATATAATATGTTAGAATCTGCCTTTCGGATTGTGAGATATAGTTGTTTATTTGTGGCCAATCAATAATTCGTTCATATTCGCATTTGACTGGTGAAGGTCCTATTTTTTCATCAATTTGCTCGTTATGGGCGTCCTACATCACTTTGGAGTCTAATCTTTATGGTTCAGTCACATGGATATGTCCATCGATCATCACGGACAATTCTCCAGAAATTCAGGCAAAGTAACAATTTGCGTTACATATATGCATGTTCCATTAACCCAAAGTAACAATGATCCGCTGATTCTTTATTGGTGTTTGACCAGGAGATGCATCTCATCCTTATCAGACGACTAGCTCCTAAAGCATTCATATTTGCATGTACTATCCTTTGAGAATATGGCGATTTAAAAAAAAAAAAAAAAAAAAACACTTTGTTGTAATTTAGACATGGCTGGGCATTATAAAATTAAGATTATGATATCATCGATCACGAACCACTTTTTGTTGGGATTTTTAAGTGCCTTATCAGTTTATCAAACTTTGTGTGTACTATTCTCCAGTTTGGGTCTTTCGACAAGTTCGTTATACACTCTCATAATGTCACTAGACGATCATTTAAGAGAGGTAGACGAGACATATTCCTTCAGACAGCAGGGAGGGATCGATACAGGGCAAGCGATCTTGTTTGAACCCTACTCGCTCTCACACACGCGCGTGTACCTCATCATACATACATTGTTTTCATGGTATTGTTCTGGAGAACAAAGGGGCGTAGCCAGGGTACTCTTGCTCTAGGCTGCTGCCCAGAGCAAGAAAGTGGCCGGCCCTCTACGCCCCAGCTCCTACTTCTCCGCCGGTTGGCCGGCCCTCTACGCCTCCGTCCTCTACGGCGGCGTCTTCGGCCTCCTCTCCATGGGCGCCGCCCTCTCCGTCGCTGTTCCGGCCACGGTGGTAACCTGGATCACCGTCCTCATGTTGCTCACCTTCACGTGGAAACCAAAGAGGACGCTGGTGATGGAGGCAGTCTGACAGTGACGTAGCCCATCGATTTTTTGCCCAGGGCAAAAAAAATTCCTAGCTACGCCACTAAGAACAACAGTGGGTATAAATTACCTCAGTCTTTCATTAGTAAGAAGTTCGTAAAACATCTTCGTGTCTAGACACACAATTTCTTGTAACAAAAATGATACAGGCACATCTTGTGCCACACCCTCAGCCACACTCCCCTCTCTCTGCTACAGTAACCGGGCCCACATGAGATTTATAAAAATAAATCTCATGTGGGCCCGGTTACTGTAGCAGAGATCGGGGAGTGTGGCTGAGGGTGTGGCACAAGGGGTGTGGCACAAGGTGTGCCTGTAGTGCCACTCTTTTTGTAAAAGCTGCAGAAATGAGAACATATAGGAGGCCATCTGTAAGAATCTAAAATTGTGTTTGACAACCACTCAAAATCGGACAAAGTGTTAATCTTGGCCCATGTTGACTGCTCTTTTGTTTGACAAAAATTAATAGACCGGTATTTACTAAGTTTTTCTTAGACCAAAAAACCATAAAAGTATTTCAAAGCCCGACCACCACTTCCAATGATTTAATCATGGCTTTGGTTAGGATGAAATTGAGTCATAATTAATCCTGACATAGTTTTTGAGTGGCTGCCAAATTCAACATAAGTCTGTTTGTCTATATGCTCAAAACGTTTTAGATGTTGATGGGAGTTTATTGTACTTTTTATTGATTTAATGGTGGATAAATCTATTCATATAAAAAAAGCAAATAAATATGTTCATATAAAAAGCGACAATGGCTTTTCCAACATTTTGGATTTAGGGAAGCGGGGTGCCTGGTGAATATACGTAAGGGGAGCAGCCACTGATTCCTTGACATATTTGCAGAGGCCCATCGCTGACATATCATAACTTGGGCTGACCCTTCTCTATACGCGTAATGGCCCAGATAAGCGTATTCCTCATCTATCGAAGCCCGAAATGCTCTGTAGGCCATGTTAAGAACACCACCCCGATCTTTGGGCGCGGCTCTTGTCTTTCCAAATATTAAGGCCTTCAAAAGCTTGCTGTCGGCTTCATCGAAACCCATGTGGCTGAAATATCACCATTATTCCTGGCCCAAGATGCATGTTCGTATCTACTCGATGATGTACAGATATAAGGCCCACTGAATCAACTTTTTTTACCCTTAAAGTTCAAATTTGTAGGGTGGATAAATTGTCTGATCCTCCCTCAAACATAGCATGGTGATCAAAGTTTTGCCTTTGTCCCCTGTTTGTTAGTAGTGTAGATAGAGTAA